TAATTTGCATATAACGCAGGTTTTGTGTTTATGCGTGGTTTCTTCCATGAGTAACACTAGGTAAACAGAAAACAACATTTAGCTGAAGTGATCCATGCAGGAATACTCAGTACACATGGTATGAGTCACATTTAATCCATCTGGTGATTTCAGGTCATCCTGTGTCCACAATTCACAGTAACTCATGAGATGCAATCCTCCCTATACCTACCTCCACAAAGAAACTGCAGGGTTTTTTCAAGGTAAAGTGCCGTATTTATTAGTCACTATGTATTTAACCACTTGCAGGTTTTATTAGATTCACTATCTGTTTTTTAATGTGTTACTGGCAAACTTTTTGAGTATTGTGCCACTAATCTCATTTTTCCCCAATAGTCCTGTGGTTTTCACTACACAATCCTGGCAAAGTGTGGGAATTTTCAGGAACACACATGTCACATTATAGCAGGACTGACTTTACTAAGCTAAGGTCCTCTCTAGTTCTAATCCCAAAGGACCTTGGAATGATCTGACACACCACCATTCTCCCCCATGTTACCCACTCTGTTCCAGCCAGCTTAACATCTCTGTTGTAAAGAAGAGCCTGCCAACAAATGGCCTGAAGGCAAAAACCAGCCACTTGATAATTTCTGTTTGACTATCCAAAAAAAAATTTTTTTTCTTGAAATCAGGTCTTGCTCTGTCACCCAGGCTGGAGTGCAGTATCACGATATTGTCTCTTTACAACCTCCACCTCTCAGCCTCAAGTGATCCTCACTTCAATCTCCCAAGTAACTTTGACTACAAGCTCGTGTCACCATGCCCAACAAATATTTGCATTTTTTTGTAGAGATGACGTCTCACTATGTTGCCCAGGCTGATCTTGAACTCCTGAGCTCAACTGATTCACCTACCTCAGCCTCCAAAGTGCTGGGATTACAGGTGTGAGCCACTGCGCCCAGCCTCCTAAATTTTTTTTAAAAAACTAGTTGCTAACATCTAAAAACTGAGTATTTCCTGTAACAATCAGATTTATAGTTCTCTTGACAAACTGGAAGCTCACGTCATCTTGGGCTCAAGTTCTCCCCATGGTGCCAGGTGGCTGGAGCTGGGTGTGGGTTGGCTACCCCTTTAGATGAGGCACTCTCTCCAGTCTTGGCAAAGAGTGGGAATTTTCAGGAACACACATGTCACATTATAGCGGAACTGACTTTACTAAGCTAAGGTCCACCCCTATCTTCACCTTGCCACCTCTTTCACTGTAAACACCCGAGACAGGGCTTGGTGGCTACAGACATGAACAGAATGCTTGCTTTACTACTTCCCAGCTGTGTCAACTTGAAGCAGTTACATAAGCCCTTGAGCTCCATTTATATATCTATGAAAAAGATGATTAGGAAAGTGAAATGATACATGTGTGAAACTGCTTGGTACACTGCCCAGAACATGACAGGACCGTGGTAAAGTATTTCTTCCCTCTAAACTCTGACATATTCCTTTCCTCATTCAGCCTTGTCTTAACCTTTTCATCTTATCAAATTGCTCCCATTGAAAAAGTCAAGACTTTTTACCATGGCTTACTCACTCTTTCATTCATTCCTCAAATATTTACTGAGGGTCTACTTTGTCAGGCAGTGTGCTAGACAGTGGCATATGAAGATGGCTCCTGCCCTCATGAAGCTTTTAGTTCAGTGGAAGAGACTGGCAATAAACAAGGAAACAAACCAGTCAGTAAACAATTTCAACCTATGGTACATGTTATGAGGAAAAAGATCAGGTTGGGTTAACCTTGAATAACAAAAGTACTTAACTTTAGAAAGACAGGTCAGGGAAAACCTCTGTGACAAGGTAAGTAAGTTAAGACAAGATTTGGGCTGGGTGGCATGGTTAACAAAAGTACTTAACTTTAGAAAGACAGGTCAGGGAAAACCTCTGTGACAAGGTAAGTAAGTTAAGACAAGATTTGGGCTGGGTGGCATGGTGGCTTACGCCTGTAATCCCAGCACTCTGGGAGGCTGAGGAGGGCAGATCACCTGAGGTCAGGAGTTCGAGACCAGCCTGTCCAACATGATGAAACCCTGTCTCTACTAAAAAAAAAATTACAAAATTAGCCAGGTGTGGTGGCGCATGTCTGTAATCCTAGCTACTTGGGAGGCTGAGGCAGATGAATCACTTGAACTTGGGAGGCAGAAGTTGCAGTGAGCTGATAACTGTGCCACTGTACTCCAGCCTAGGTGACAAGAGTCAAACTCCATCTCAAAAAAAAAAAAAAAAGGTGACAAGAGTCAAACTCCATCTCAAAAAAAAAAAAAAAAAAAAAAAAAAGACTAGACAAGGCTGAGAAGATAGCAGCCAAATAAATTTTAGTCTTCCAAGCCAAGAGAAATTTTCTGGCATATGGAAAGCCCTGGGAGGAACAAACTCTTGGGAACTGCTATCAGGCCCATGGACGACCAGCATGGCCCAGGAGCCTTGAGAGGGAGGTGGGACGACCCTGTTCCATGTTGGGATTTCTTTCTGAGTACAGGGAGAATCCCTTCAAGGTTTCGTCTGCCCACCCAAAACCAGCTCTTCGGATTTCCTACACTATTTAAATATACACACCCACCCACCTATCCACTCATATACATAAACACAATTTCCTATAGTATATATAGAATTTACATATAGAATCTATATAAAGTTTATAAGATAGGTCGGAGTATATTTGAGCATACCAAAAGATAATAGCAAAGAGACTGACTAAAAATAAAAAGGGTAAAAGAAACTTTCTTTAAAAAAGGTTTGTAAAAATGTAAACAAGTCCTGACCTTTGCAAAAAGATAAACAAATCTTTTGCTTAAGTATAAATTTTAGCAGGTATGAATAGCTTTGAATTATTATTTTATTTGTTCTTTTGAGGCAGGGTCTCGCTCTGTGGCCCAGGATGGAGTACAGCAGCATGATCACAGCTCACTGCTGCCTCAACCTCCTGGACTCAAGCAATCCTTCCACCAAAGCCTCCCAAATAGGCACTACACGAATGCATCACCATGTCTGGCTAATTTTTAGTTTTTTTTTGTAGAGACAGAATCTCACTGTTTCCCAGGCTGGTCTCAAACTCCTGGGCTCAAGTGATCAGCCTTCTACAACCTTCCAAAGTGATGAGATTACAGTTATGAGCCACGGTGCCCGGCCTAGATGGAGGATATTAATCCAAATATATCAATAATCACTTTAAATGTGAATGATCCATATGCACCAATGAAAAGACAGATTGTCAGCTGGGTAAAAATACAAGACCCTTGTGAAATTATATAGAAAATAGGAAAAAAAAAAAAAGGAAAAAATCAAGCTCCCCCAATATATACTGCCTACAGGAGACCCATTTTATGTATACAGACACAGACAGATGCAAAATAAAGGGATGGAATAGCTGCCAGTGGTGCACATCTGTAGTCCCCACTACTTGAGAGGCTGAGGCAGGATGATAGCTTGGGCTCAGGAGTTTGAGGTTGTAGTGCCCTACAACCCTGTCTGTGAATAGTAAATGTAAGTGCCCTTCAGCCTGGGCAACACAGCAAGACTCTCTTTAAAAAAAAAAAAAAAGTCGACCAGGCACAGTGGCTCACACCTGTAGTCCCAGCACTTTGGGAGGCTGAGGCAGGTGGATTGCTTGAGCTCAGGAGTTTGAGACTAGCCTTGGCAACACGGTGAGACCGCACTTACACAGGGGAAAAAAAAAAAAAAAGTGTGTGTGTGTGTCCAGGCATGGTGGTATGTGCCTGTAGTCCCAGCTACTCGGGAAGTGGAGATGGGAGGATGGCTTGAGCCTGTGAGGTAGAGGCTGCAGTGAGCTGTGTTTATGCCACTGCACTCCAGTCTGGGTAACAGAGTGAGATCCTGTCTCAAAAAAAAAAGAAAAGAAAGAAAGAAAAAGTCAAAGCATAGAGAAAGTTATACTGTGCTAGCAGCTAACACTAATAAAAAGAAAGCTGGAGGAACAATAGCAATTTCAGACAAAGCAGACTTCAGAACAAGGAAAATAAACTTATAAAGGGAGGTACTACATAATAAGAAAGGGGCAGCTGGGCATGGTGGCTCATGCTTGTAATCCCAGCACTTTGGGAAGCAGAGGCAGTAGGATTGCTTGAGACTAGGAGTTCAAGACCAACCTGGGCAACATAGTGAGATCCTGTTAAATAAATAAATAAATAGCAAGGGGTCAATTCTCCAAAAAGATATAACAAGGCAAAAACTGATAGAACTGCAAGGAGAAAAACAGAGAAATCAACAGTTATTATTGGCTTTTTGATTCAGCTTGTTAAGATAACAATAAACCTTTGTCAACAATATCTTATCCCTTCCTCCCAGCTTTTTGTCTACAAGCTTGATACACCTACCTTCTCTTTGTTCAAAGAGGTGAAAACACTCAATGGGCCAGAGGCAGGTTCAGAGCCCTGGGGAATACAACTTCCCATAAGTGAATATTGATTAGTTAATAATGACAATACTATTAATAATAATTATATCATTAGTACATACTGAACATTATTATGTGCCAGGCATCGTTCTAAGCACTTTATAAGCAATATCCCTTTGATCCTTCATAATAACTCTGTCAGGCAGGTACTACTATTACATGTATTTTCCAAATAAAGAAAGTGAGGCATTAAAAAGTTAATTGGCCAAGGTCAAAAAAGCTAAGTGGGGCACTGGATTTGACTTCAAGTGGTGGCCCTTCCTGTTAATTACATATTAAGATATACTGCCTCTCAATTTGGAAGCAAGTAATAAAATGGTACTTCATCCCAATAGTCTGAAACAACAGTTCAGGCTTTTGCTTTAAATGTAAGTTAGTTAAATAAACCTAAGTGTTTCTTTAATTTTTTAAAGAATCGATGAGGCTGTACTATATTTGATGTCAAAGAGGCACAACTCCTTAGTGAAACCCTTAGGCAGGTTTGTTTTTGGAAAGGGTTCAGGAAAGGAAGGGTTGCCTTTGGCAGGTAGCTGGAACCAAGTGGGACTGGTGCAGGTACCTGAATGCGCTGAGGTGAGGCTACAGCAGAGTCGGTGGAGATTATCTGGATGCGTGGGGAGGGGCTGGTCATCCCTGGAGATTCTGGCCGAGAGGTCTGTGTACGTGTTACCTGTGGGCGAGAAGTGGGCTGGATCACAAGGGGGTTCAGAATAATGCTCAGTGGTGGCCTGAAGACCATACCTCTTGCTTTCACTGTGGCCTGGGATGATAAACTTGTGTGGTTCTGAGGTATGGACCCAGAAGGATGACAAAGGAATCAATGAGATGTTGCTACAGGATGCCCCCAGGAAAATACAACCTTAAAACAGCTGTTTCTAACGTTGGAAATGCAAGAAGAAACCTAAGGAATTTGCAGTTCTGCTCTGCACACTTTAATAAAGTAAAAACCTACCAAAATAACATTTTATAGATGATCTTTGAATGTTATCCCTGTCTCCAAAGCCACCTGTAAAACACTCCTTTAAGATGATGGTTTCCTAAGAAAGGCTCTCACAACACAGCAGGGGATGACAAACAAAACCAACATTACACTGAAAACTACTGGAATTAGTACTGATGAAAGGGTTCTGATAATTTCTCAGCCCCAGTGGGATGGAGCTGGGAAAAGCCTGTCAGGACCATAGGGTCTGAAATTTAGTCAATACCTATATCAAAGGCAAGGTTCAAGGTGCTGAATGACCATCTGGGTATTTGAAGAGGGCAGATATATTTTTTTCTTGATAGAAAGCATATTGTGGCTGGTTGTGGTGGCTCATACCTGTAATCCCAGCACTCAAGGCCAAGGTAGGCGGATCACTTGAGGTCAGGAGTTTGAGACCTGCCGGCCAAAATGGTAAAACCTCATTTCCACATACAAAAAAAAAAAAAAAAAAAAAAGCTGGGCATAGTGGTGCACCTGTAATCCCAGCTACTCATGTGGCTGATGCAGGAAAATCACTTGAACTAGGGAGGCAGAGGTTGCAGTGAGCAGAGATCATGCCACTGCACTCCAGCCTGGGCAACAGAAAAAAAAAAGTATATTGTGGGCTGGGTGTGGTGGCTCACGCCTGTAAACTCAATACTTTGGGGAGGCTGAGGCAGGTGGATCACTGGAGGTCAGGAGTTAGAGATCAGCCTAACATGGTAAAACCCTGTCTCTACTAAAAATACAAAATTAGCCAGTTGTGGTGGTGTGTGCCTGTAATCCCAGCTACTTGGGAGGCTGAGGCAGGAGAATTGCTCAAACCCAGGAGGCAGAGGTTGCAGTGAACCAAGATTGTGCCATTGCACTCCAGCCTGGGCAACAAGAGCGAAATTCCAACTAAAAAAAAGTGTACTGTGAACCGATACTTTATAAACTCTTCCTAAAATTAGAAGAAAACACTTCCTAATTCTGTGAGGCCAATATTACCTGATACTGAAACCAAAGACATCACAGGAAAAGAAAACTACAGACCCATCCCTCTTATGAAAAAGAGTCACAAACAATCGTCTACAGAACACTAGCAAACTGAATCCAGTGGTATATAAAGGATTACACACCATGAATAAGTGGGGTTTACTTTAATCTCAGGAATGCAGGCTTGTTCAAATATGAAAATCAAACAGTTCTATACATCACATTAAAGGCATAAAGGACAGAAGCCACACAATTATTTCAACTGATGGAGAAAAAGCATTAAACAAAATCCAACTCATGATAAAATTCATGATGAAAACACTCAATAAACAAGATACAAAAGGAAAGTTCTCAATCTGATAAAGGGTCTCTATAAAATACTTACAGCTCACAGTATACTTAGTGGTAAAAGACTAAAAGCTTTCCTTCTAAGGTTAGGAACAAGATGAGGACCTCTGCTCTCTCTACTTCTACTCAACATTTCACTAGAGGTTCTAGCCAGGGCAATTAGCAAAGAAAAAGAATAAAAACATTCAGAATACAAAAGAAGAAAACTGTCTCTGTTTCCAAATAACATTATCTCATATACAAAAAATCCCACGGAATCCACACACACAGACACACAAAAAAACCAAAACCATCAGATCTAGTAGAGGGGTTTCAAGATACAAGATCAAAATAAAAAATTGGCCGGGTACTGTGGCTCAAGCTGTAACCTCAGCACTTTGGGAGACCGAAGAGGAAGAACCACTTGAGGCCAGGAGTTTGAGACCAGTCCAGACAACAAAGCAAGACCCCTGTCTCTACAAAAAAATTAAAAACTTAGCTGTGTGTGATGGTGCAAGCCTGTAAGTCCCTGGTACTCAGGAGGCTAAGTCCCAGGTACTTGGAGGATCACTTGAGCCCAGAAGTTCTAGGCTGCAGTGAGCCATGATCGTTACTATATAGCCTGGGCAAGAGTCTGCCTTAAAAATAAAAAACAAGGCTGGACACACTGGCTCACGCCTATAATCCCGGCACTTTGGGAGGCCGAGGCAGGTGAATTACTTGAGGTCAGGAGTTCAGGACCAGCCTGGCCAACATGATAAAGTCCCATTTCTACTAAAAAATACAAAAATCAGCTGGGCGTGGTGGTGGGTACCTGTAATCCCAGCTACTCAGGAGGCTGAGAGAGGAGAATTGCTTGAACCCAGGAGGCGGAAGTTGCAGTGAGCCAAGATTGTGCCATTGTACTCCAGCCTGGGTGACAAGAGCAAAACACTGTCTTAAAAAAAAAAAAAAAGAACAAAAACACAATAATCAATTGTATTTTTATATATTAGTAATGAGCAACCTGAAAATTAAATTAAGAAAGTAATCCCACTGACCATGCATCAAAAAGGATATTTAGAAATAAATCAATTTAACAAAAGAAATTCAAGATTCGTATATTGAAAACCATAAAATATTGCTATTAGAAATTTAAAACATCTAAATAAATGAAGTCATTTGTATTTATATTGTTAAGATAATGATATTCCCCAAACTGATTTACAGATTCAATGTATTCTCTATCAGAATGTAAAGTGTTTTTTTGCATAAATTGACAAGTTGATCCTAAAATTCATACGGAAATACAAGGGACCCAGAATATCCAAAACAATCTTGAAAAAGAACAAAATTGGAGGACTCGCACTTCCTGATTTCGAAATGTATTTGCAAAGCTACAGTAATTAAAACAGTGTGGAATCCAGCAATCAGACTTCTGGGTATTTACCCAAAATATCTGAAATCAGTTTGTCGAAGAGATGTCTGAACTCCCATGTTCTTTGCAGCACTGTTTGCAACAGCCAAGTTATATATTCAACTAACGTGTCCATCAACAGATGAATGAATAAGAAAACATGGTATATATACACAATGGAATACTATTCAGCCTTTAAGAAGAAGGAAATTCTGTCATTTCTGACAACATGGATGAACTGGAAAACATTATGGTAAGTGAAATAAGCCAGGCACAGAAAGACAAATGCCATATGTTCTCACTTACATGTGGAATCTAAAAGAATCAAACTCATAAAAACAGAGTAAATTGGTAGTTACAGAGGCTGAGGGGCAGCGGAAATGGGGAGATGAAAGTCAGGTCAAAAGGTACAAAATCTTAGGAGGAATACTTTTCTTTTTTTAGATCTACTGCACAGCATGGCAAATACAGTTATTAACAGCTTATTGTACATTTCAAAATTGGTAAGAGTAAATTTCAAGGCCAGGCACGGTGGCTCAAGCCTGGAATCCCAGCACTCTGGGAGGCCGAGGCGGGTGGATCATGAGGTCAAGCGATCGAGACCATCCTGGTCAACATGGTGAAACCCCGTCTCTACTAAAAATACAAAAAATTAGCTAGGCATGGTGGTGCATGCCTGTAATCTCAGCTACTCAGGAGGCTGAGGCAGAAGAATTGCCTGAACCCAGGAGGCGGAGACTGCGGTGAGCCGAGATCGCGCCATTGCACTCCAGCCTGGGTAACAAGAGCGAAACTCCGTCTCAAAAAAAAAAAAAAAAAAAAGAGTAAATTTCAAATATTCTCATAGCAAAGTTAAGTATTTGAGGTGATGGATATGTTAATAAGCTTGATTTAATTTTTACACATTGTAGTCACAGATCATAACGTCATTTTGTACTGTAAATATATGCAATTATAAACTATCAATCAGTGACTTTAAAAAAACCACTGCAGTACTGGCATACAGACAGACATATGGATCAACGGACTATAACAGAGAACCCAGAAATAAACTCTCACATATATGTTGTATGTTCAAATTTGATAAAGGTGCCATGATAATTCAATAGGCAAAGAACAGTCTTCGACAAATGGTGATGGGACAACTGGAAATTAAATGCAGGGGAACAAATCTGGACACTTACCTTGCATTATTACAAAAAAAAAAAAAATCAAAATGGATCAAATATCTAAATCTAAGAGGTCAAAGCATAAAACTCTTAGAAAATACAGGTGTAAATCTTTTTTTTTTTTTTTTGAGACGGAGTTTCACTCCTGTTACCCACGCTGGAGTGCAATGGCGCGATCTCGGCTCACTGCAACCTCCGCCTCCTGGGCTCAGGCAATTCTCCTGTCTCAGCCTCCTAAGTCGCTGGGATTACAGGCATGTGCCACAACGCCCAGCTAGTTTTTTGTATTTTTAGTGGAGACGGGGTTTCACCATGTTGACCAGGATGGTCTCGATCTCTCGACCTCGTGATCCACCCGCCTCGGCCTCTCAAAGTGCTGGGATTACAGGCTTGAGCCACCGCGCCCGGCCCAGGTGTAAATCTTTGTGAACTTGAATTAGGTGACAGTTTCTTAGATGATACCAAAAGCAAAAGAAAAATACAAAAGAAGAAAACTACCTCTGTTTGCAAATAACATTATCTCATATAAAAAAAAAATCTCAGGAATGCAGGCTTGTTTAAATATGAACAAGCAGCACAAGAGAAATTATAAAATGATCATCAAAACTAGAAAGTTTTTTTTTTTTTTTGTTTGAGACAAGATCTTTTACTCTGTCACCTGGGTTGGAGTGTAGTAGCACAATTATGGCTCACTGCAGCCTCCTCCTCCTGGGCCCAAGCAATCCTCCCTCCCACCTCAGCTTCCTGAGTAGCTAGGATCAAAGGTGTGTGCCACCATGCTGGACTAAATTTTTTTTTTTTTTTTAGACAGGGCCTTACTCTCAGATGCCCAGGCCAGA